GCAGGCTGAGTTTTGAAGGAAAGGGTGTCAGTGGGTTCAGTTTTGGCCTTTCTGCTGGATACTCTGGGATAGTAATTTTACTTTTTTCTTGCAGCTTTTCTCATAAGTATAGTAGTATGTGCTACATGTGGCATAGACTTAGAATTATCATGAGAACTAAAGAATCTATGTCACAAATCCAACACATAGTCCTTCATTTTTAAAAGAAGCATAAATTTGTTGAATACATTGTTGAAGAAACTTTCTTTTTCAATGAGCAAATCTCTTCAATAGCAGTTGTACTGCTTCCATTGTGTTAGCACAAGGATTTGTGAAATTTCTCTAAAATAAGAAACCTCCTCTCTTCTTACCATAAAGTCTAAAGTTGTAGAAATTTTGCACTTGGAATAGTAGGGCCGAAAAATTGCAGTGACATTGATTTTACAATTATACCCCAAAAGTGCACCACTGACTTAGTGACTGTCATTTAAACTAATTAATCCTTCCTTACTTTAAATCTCGATATCATGGCCAATTTTTACTTCTCCTGTTTTACATATCCCAATATTCTTTCCAGTAATCTTTGGGCATACTAAAAGTAATCTTACCCTAAACCTAAACTGGACTCTGAGTTTTTTTATGCTTCACAGAGTTCTCACTGCATAATTCTGCATCATGCCAGAATGTTATAGAGAAGGCGTTTTGTTTATTTGAACTAAGCCAATGACCTTTTCAAACATTCTCATCATGAGCTGTGTATTACATAGAGTACCTTCTGTGCATAATGAACAAATAGGATCAAATTCCTGGGCCCTCTGGGATATGACTTCGTTTCCCCTCAGGTTGTCAACTTTTTAAGGAGATGTTCTGCACAACAGATCATGTTGACATGATATTACGGACACACATCATAACAGGGTAGCGTTTTGTCACAATGGTGATGTATGAACTTCAGAAGATTTGGATCCCAAGTTTGGACACACTGCCAAGAATGTGGATTCCTTTTTAAAGCATCCAGATGTCTTATGTCTGCAGAACTGGGCTTTTTGAAATTGTTTATTTGTTGGTTTATGTCAGGACAAGAGAGAGGACATTGCCTTCTTGAATCTAATTCAAGTCATTTCCAGAGTCTGAGAAACATAACATACCTTCTTCAGCTATCTATTTTTATCTTTTAATATTTTATGTTGAACTTTTGTTTATTGTATCAAGCCTAGACTTTAAAAAACATACAAACACATTTAATGGAAAGTCAAAATGTTCCAAGTTATTGTACAAAACTTAGGGTATGGATGGAAGACTGGGGATTATTAAAAACTAGCTTTTTTTATAATCTTGATGTTTTCCCACAAACACCAACAGGAAATGAAGTAGGGCCTCTGTGACTTTTGTCCATGTGTGTCTGCATGTGTCATGTGTGCCTGCATGTGTCATGTGTGTGAGCTGCCTCTGTTATCAACCTCTCATACAGCCAACTCTCAAGGCAGAGTCCAGCCAGGACCATCAGTGGTGGAAACTGGAATACTGAGGTCCAGCTTTATTGCCTTTGAATTCATCTTTACATTCATTTATCTAAAACAGATACAACGCTGTGGGTTTAGATTCTATCAGAAGATCTTGAGTCACTTTACTCATGTTTCTCACTAAAAATATTTGGCCAGCTCTTTGTCATAAATAGAGGAACTAATGGTTCCCTTTGGTGATTCTGCTCCTTTAGGAGCAAAGATTTTTGACTGTTTTGTTCACTGTTTTATCCATAGTACCTAGAAAAACACGGGACATGTGCTAGTTGCTCCTTTCTTAATGACCAACTAGATAGTGCAGATCAATATTATTAATTGTGTCCATTTGGAGTATAAAAACTAGAGGCACATTACCCTAATCAGATATTTTGCAATGTTTTTTATCTGTTAGGATGAAAGACAGGCTTTCTCACAGGCTGAAGTTGTTTAATTTTAATGAGAAAAGACCTGTACTTTAAGCCTGGGCAGAAGTGAGGATGGTTCATCTCTGATGTGATCCCTGGGTTATACCATTACTCGATGACATTCACCTTCCTTCATATAGTGGAATGCAAACATTCATAGTTGAGCACTTTTTCAAATTTTTTAAGCATTTATTATTTTCATAATCCTAAATCCTCCTCTTTTATGAACCAGTCATTAAACATAAGAAGTTGTGTAACACTTAATGAGCACATATAGATTTTCTCATACACAACTAAAACATGAAATGACAACAGGCACACATTACTTTAAAGGTGGACTATTCATGTCCCAGACTAGAGCAGTCATTGGATAGCCACAGAGACAATCAGCTGAGAGCTTGGAGCAGAAGAGGACAGTCCTATAATACCGCACCCTACTTAGGTCTAACATTGGATTAAGCCTGTTTTGCTTCTTTCCAACCTGTGACGTACTTCACAATGTGTGGCCTCTTAGAAGGAGAAATAATTCAGAAGCTTCAAAAGTCACACTTAGGTAATTGGGAAAGAAGTTTAACAAAGAACTAGAAGAGCTCTTAAGTGTCCCCTAGCTAAGCTTTATACCCTATGCCCTATTTTGTACCAAGAGACACAGAAAGAAATAGAGCTAAATGTCTTGTACAGATAAACATTATAGAATCAATGAACAACACACTCAAGAGAAACATGTAAGAAATACATGTGGAGCATCTACACAGCTCCTCACTTACTGGCACTTTATTCCATCCTTTCATTAATGCCATGTGGTTAAGTGCAACTCACTTTATTTTTATATACATGAGTCAGCCACCTTCCCCATGAAGATTAAATGAGATAATGCATATAAAAGTGTGATCTAAACTATAATGTGTCTTGCAGGTGTTAGGCATTGTCAGAGCCCATGAATTTATAAAAACTTTCCATTCTTATAGATCTTATAGACATTAAGCCAGTAGCATCAGGCCACTGTGCAAGACCTCAGTGACATCCTCAAGAGAGAGGAAAGAAGGCAGCATGCAAAGCTAATTGGGGAAAATGCTCTTAGTTCCTGGGAGATTGTGCTTCCCCCACTGAATCAATGAGTAATGAATCTCTTACTGGCTTTCCTTCCATTCTAGAACATAGAAGTCAAAGTTCCAATAGAATCGATTTGCATCTGGTTGCAGGGAAGAAGAAAAAGTTTGTCCCTCTCCTAAGGGATGCTGTAGCTGGGAAAGAAAATGAGAATCCCAGCGAAAGAAGCAGTCTCTGGAGCTTGCAGCTAAATATAGATTTTCCTGAGTCTGAACCAGTGCCCCGTAACTAGAAGTATCTGCAGGAGAATGTGCCAGTGGCTTCTGAGAGAACACACATGCACAGGGAAAGGAGAGTTACAGGGACAGGTTTCAGTGGTTTTCCAGGAATGAGTTAGATTTCTGGTGAACACAAAAGACAGAGCCGGGTTTGGGTAAATCAAGTAGATCCTTAGGCAAGATTTTAGTTGGAATCGAGAAAAAGGGTAGTTGGCCTTGGAGGTGCACAGAATTGCTCTTCTGCCTTTGCTGCAGGGTGAGGTCCCTAGAGAAAGGATGACTCGAAGCAGGCAGGAGATGGTTTCATTTGTCAGCTGACGAGGGAGCAGAATGCAGGTCATGTTAGGAATGTGGAAAACCAAGACTGGGTGGAGATGGAAGAAGATAACCCTTTGGGGTTTCTCATCACTTAGCAGGGCGTTCAGCTGTCCAAAGGTAGACAGTAGTGCTCTAGAGCCTGGTGGAATATTAATAACCCCTGAAGCTCTTCAAATTCAATTTCCATGCCCATCCCCACTCCAGACCAACGGAACCCAATCCTTTCGTAGGTGAATTTGAAGTTTCTAGTTTTTGTCTGTTTGTTTTAAATTTACCAAGAGATTCTGATTCCATTCAAGCTTAAGGATCATTTTCTTGAAAGATTTTACGATTAAAATCTGCAAAGAGCTGCAACTCAAGCACATTTGCTAGCATAACTCAGTTGTCAATTACCTAAAAGGACATGTGCACTAGTGTCAAAGGGCAATTATTAGGAGGATTCTAGCAGAGCATGCTGACACCATCCAGGTGGGTCCTGTAAAGTAAGCACTTGTTACTGATGCTTCTTGGTCTTTTCTATAGTAGCCATAAAGAGACATCCTGAGAGGAACTCAGTATTGGCTCTTTCTTGGGGTGCCTGCTGCAAACCTCATCTCTGTATTATACAAAGGAGCCTTAAAGGAAGTCTTCTCCCTGCTTCTCTATAACGCCCACCTCTCCCACTTTGCAGAGAGGGGTTACCTCCTTTTGTAATTAGCCCATGTGCCAAACTCTCACACTGACTGCTGCAAATGGCTGTTGAACTTACCTACAGTTCACAGTTGCTATCTCTTGGGTTTACAGATGACAAAATTTGCATTCAGGCTGGCATTGGGATTATAATGGAATACTGCAGATAAAATCCCCTTAGCTTTGGTGGACATCCTGATTAACTTTACAGAATAGATTTGATAGTTCCAAAAGGGTCCCATATTTAGGTGATAATACTGTAGAAGGCAGGGAGACTTATTGAGGATCCCAATAGTCTTGATTCTAGTCGACTTGCTGTGCCTTCATCTTTCTTCTCATCTTTTTCTAGGAGCTTTGCCCAGCTCCAAATGTCATGAGAGAGACCAGTTAGAGCAAAATAGGCCAGAACCTGGAGTTGAAGCAAAGTCCCAAGAACTGGTCTTTAAAATGTTTAGTTTTACAGTGCAGTCCAAGAGTGTGTGACTGGTGGACATCTAAACAACAAGGCAAAATAAAATTTCAAAGCTATCATGCAATAGATAACGACAAAGATACAAAATAGGCAGTACCTAGCATGGTACATATAGCAGATACGTGAGATGCCAGTCTTTAGAACTACAGTGATTGGGCTATGGAAGAACATACTTTTGGGTATTTAGAACAGGGATACCATGCAGGAAAAGGAGGCACTGAGTGGTATGTGGGCAGGATCAGGATAAAGTACCTTAAGCTATCCGAGGGCTTGGGGCTTGTCCAGTGGCACAAACCTGGAAACCAACCTCTAGAAATGAGAGCAGAGTTGTCCAGCAGACAAAGGGGATTTCATGCTCCTTGAGGTCAGGGTGATTTCCAGTCATTTCAGGGCTGGGTCTTTAAGTAGTGGTTAAGCAGTCATCTTCCGATAGATGCAGGAAGCCAAAGAAGTCATCACTATATTTTTCAAAACTTTCAACTTTAATTTCTTCCTTCAACTATATCATTGTTATATGGACATATTCTAACAGAGAGGAAGGAGAGAGTAAATAAACTAGTTCAAGTCAAAAGGAGCTAGATATTATCATACTAAGGCCAAAACGACTTAGACAGAAAGACAAAAAATTATTTAATGTAGAGAACAACCAAATGCATTTGATGGTTTTATGCCCTAGAACATCTGACACTGGATGACACACACACAATATATTTAAGTGCTAATTGATACATAGAAGAAAACTACAATACTAAGAGAGGTGTTTAATGATAAAGCATGATTTAGTAAAAAAAAAAATACTACTATTCCCATTCTAATGTAAAGTATGCATTTATTTAAAAGCAGTTTTTATTTAAGTTTTTGTAAGACTTCTTTTTTAATTGAAAATCACAAATGTTAAATATTTGGAAGATATCTTGCTGCTATATAATATCTGACTTACACACACACACATTCAACAATGAAACAACTGCCAAAAGGAGCTTGAGTAGTGCTGTGTTAACCCACATATCGCTGAGTTAGCAGCTAAATAACCAGCTACGCACACCCCTTTTGTATCATGGAGCACTGTTCATTCTTAACGTGATAATGGAACTAAATTTGGAGAGAACAGGCCCTTAAGTTTCAATTTATTTGTTTCACAATCACAGCCTCAAGCTGAAGGGGAAATTATGCCGCAGTTTGATAAATAAAACCCTATACATTCAAGCACAAAATGCAAAATGAAAACTTTGGGAACTTCAAATAATCAAGGACCTTAGATTAATTCCATCAGTCGTTGTGAGTTTTTTGTTGCTGCGAATTTGCTGGAGAATGTAGTATGAAAGCTCTCTAACTAGTGTTTGATTATATCAGTGTCTCTATTTCCTTTTAGAACACACATCTGTTGTTGTGGGGGGTTTGCAGCAGGGAGAGTGTGGTTGTGGTTATTATGGAAATCCAGCAAAAACCAAATATTTTAAAGCAGATGAGGAGAAACCCACCGACAGTTGGCTCGCAAATGTTGTAATGCTTCGCACACTCAACCTCAAAGCCAGCGTCAGCGGCAAGCCTGGTGGCCTCAGTTTTATCTGTGTCAAACATTGGATTGCTCTTGTTAGTTAACTGACTGGAGATTGTTTTTTCCCTTTATCCTCCCTCTCTCTTTTTAATTGTTGTTACTCTGTTTTGCCTGAAAGCTGCAGTATCTCACTGATCATTATTCCCTGTTCAGTCAAATCCTGTCCAAAATTAACTCCTTGTGTGCTGTACCGATTCCCCAGCTTTTTCCCCACAAGATACACAAAATGGACCTTGTGGGGTCTCTTTCAAAATGTTTGCACGTACACGTCATATAAATAACTTTTAATCAACTCAATGCTGTTTTTACTGGACTGTCTTTCGTTACCATTGAAATTTTCTAAGCAGAAACAATTCCAATTATTCACAAGAAATCATTCTAAAGCCCTTAAGAGTCACCACATTTTAATATTCTGCTAGGAAGACCTAGATCTGTATTGCCTTGATTTCCTTTATTTCTCCATTAGCTTGGAATTTCTAAAGGAGCTTTCGGAGTCTCCAAACTAAAGCTGTGAGACAAGGGGGGAAAAAAACCCTAACAGTCATTACTGCTGGGATACTAGTTTCTTATATCAGCATCAGATTCCAGAGTATTCAAGTTGAATTAGGGGCAGCCATCAGAAAACCATAGAACTGGGAAAGTCGCTGTTATAAATTAATGATTATTTGCCGTGCGCAGTAGAGTGGCTGTTTGTACCACATTTTATTGTGATGTTTTATTCTTATTCAGTGCAACAGTAATTGGGTCTTAAACATGATAAAGTATCTTAAAGGCTACACTGTTTGTGGAGCTGCCTAGAGCAGGTTTTTAACTCTAGTTAAAGAAGGTTAATCAAAGCTAATGAATCTGTTTTATCCATTGCCATGAGTTTATCAAAAAAAAAAAAAATGTGCCAGAAGGTGACTGAACCAAAATCCGGATTGTGCAGCTATAAATGCAAATACATTTTCAGCATAAAAATTCTCCAAGCCCCTTGCATGGCCCTGTGTTCCCGGATGGCCAGTACCTACAAGCTCTGTGGTTTTCTTCTTTCAGTGGCTCCCTTTTCTTCCATTAAAAAATATAAGCTATGAAAATACAGAGGAGGAAAAGCAAGCCCACACTACAGCCGGCAGCGTGAGAATATCAAGAGACTGTTGCATTCAGAAGTTTAGAATAGCTCTGCTCTTTATGAAAGAATATGAGGAGCCCCCTAATAAGGCTAATTCATTAGAACAAGTGCTTGTTACTAAATCACACCACGCAGGACCACAGGCATCCAAGCCAGCCAGCGCGGCAATTAAAGTTGCCTCTCTTCCAAACCCAGCTTGCCCACCAAACTCACCCACAACTTCTATTTTGGTTTCTTATTAGAAATGGGCTTGCCAAATTCAGGTTCATAATTTCAGGCAGCAGAGGAGCAGTGCATCTCCAGCTACAGCGTTCAAGATCGTTTTCTGCACTTTAAGGATAATTTAAAAGAAATGATACTGTGCAAGTCCTTTCTCAAGGGTGCGGGGGGCCAATAGCGTGGCTAGACTACACCTTGCTGTCTTGTGTTTGAAAGAACTCTCAAAAGGAGATCAGGGAGCTCCTCTTCCAAATACCCGACTTTACAGTGGTGGAGGGCTTTTCATAGCACTCCCAGCGCTTACAGGAAGCACACGGAGTCCTGGTGACACCTTTCCCGAGCCCTCTGGTGCTCCGAGGAGCTTTGGAATGAGATTCACAGCCACTGTGGCTGGCAAGGAAAGCTCCCCGCCAAAGGAGACAGAAAGAGGGGCGGGAAGGCCGCTGTGCTGTGGCTTTCTCTCCTGCTCTCTTTTAAACCCAAATCATATTTGTACTTTGGGGGAAGGGTGTGAAAAAAGAGATCCATACAGATAGAAAGCAAAGCAGAACCCGAAAAACCAGGGGGAGGAAAAAAAAAAAAAAGCCTGACGATGAAGTGGAGCTTTGGTCTCGAGAAGGTCTACATCACAGGTTTCAAAAGCATTTTTTTTTCAGTTTCACAAGCCGCAACCCCCTTGATGAAAACTAGTTGCGAAATTCAGAGCCCGTTAGGCCTCAGCTAATTAGAAAAAATGGGCTTTTTTTTTTTTCCCCCTTTTCCTTTCTTTCTTTAGCACCTTTTCTTTCAAGCATTTAGTCTCAGGAGGGGGATCCAGGCTCTTGGCCGGGCTGTTTTGAAAACACGCCTTTGAATGCCTCTCCCTAATTCACGCCTTTTGTTTTTCAGCTTTTGTGTTTGCCAGTTTGACCATATAACGTTATACATCTGGTGTATAGCTTGTTGGGGCTTTTTTCTCCCAGGGATCCTATGCATTCCCTATAGGACCCTCCTGAGCTTCAATTTGAGCGATCGTGTAACATAAAGGGGCGAAGGAGAACCCAGGAGCTGGGGGAGGGTGGCGGGGGGCAGCAGAGGGGAGGAGGCCTGGGGGGGTGCAGAGAGAGAAATGAGTGAAACATAAAAAAAAAAAGTTGAAAAGAATTCTTTTGGTCTCTTCTTTTCTTCTCACTGTTGCGACTGGACCCTGAGTCAGCCGGCGACAAGGCCTCGGTGGGAAAATGACGGGGCCACAGAATAGATAACTCATTGGAATTCTGGCAACATATTCGTAAATAAAACACAAGTGAGGAGGCGGGCCGGGGAGGGCATGTGCTCCCGGGGAAGCAAGCGGAGCTGCTCCCTGCTCCTGGCTGGAGGACATTTCAGGGCCGGCTCCTCCACCGGCCTGGTGCAGGGAAAACCTAAGATGGTCAGAGGCAGGGAATTTGGACGGTTCTGCCCAGACTTGTTAGGCAGAGCTCTTGCAGCTGGAGCTGTTTATTATTGCAGCGAGGACGATCCTCCTGCAAACACTTTGCGGGCTGGCGGGAGCCGGAGTGATCTGTCCGCGTTTCTTCAGAGCCTGCACGGTCTGTGCTTCCCTGTTGAGACGGTGATTTTTTTTTTTTTTTTTTTTTTGGCGGGGAGGGGGGAAGTTTTAATTTTCAGGTCTTGAAGAAGTAATGGCCCCCAGATTGAGTTTGTATTTATCTCTCCCAGCCTTTATCTCCCATGCACATCTTTGGTAAAATAGCTCGAATACTTCTGGAAATTGTGGCATTTTCTGTAAGTTTCCTGCTGTCCAAAGCTCCCACGTTTCCCTGATTTTGCCAATATTGTGCAGAAATGCACTGGACAAGATCTCCTCTCGATTTTCCCACCTGTGAAATGGACATAGCACAGCACTGAAGTCACAGTTCTCAGTCTTCACATCCCTTGTCTTTTTAATAATGGGTTTATTTCATATATGTAGCTAATATACACAATCTATATTGATATATTAACCTATCTATCTTTCTATACATATATGGCCCATTATAAATATGTAGTGTATATTTTGGTGGTTGAGATTGTGTACGTTATCCAACTGCTCTAGAATCACTCGGCAAGTTTGATTTTGATTAAAATAAAACCTAGAATAAATAGAAAGACAATATGTTTGTGGCAGTTGTTTCAAGCTAATACCAGCAGCTTTTTCTTTTCTTTACTGCTGAACGATTTCAAAGGCAATAGCAGGCGTGAAGGCAAAACAAACTCATTTCTGTGCAAAGCTTGAGTTATTTGTGTTTCCCTGAATTCAAGAAGCAGAGGGTGGGGGTGGGTAAAGGGTTTGTTTTAAATATAGAAATGGGGAAAATACAACAAACTCGGCAGAATATCTCAGAAGGTTCTGCAGCTTGCAGTGCAGAGCTTATTACAGATGTGTTATAACTTGTAGGGATGTTTAAAAATAGCTGAAGAATCCACTATGAGAAATCTTACTAAAAATATCATTTTCCCCAATATATTTGTAACTCAGGTTACCAGCTGATTAACCCCATAATAAGTTTGTCCAGGTGGAAATCTATACCCCTGTCTGTCCCCAGTCAATCCAACCACCTGACCAATAACGTGGATCCAAAGGTTAGACAATTACATTAGCAAATGTTTGGAAGGAAATGATAAAATCATTGTGTTTGTGTTAAAGATATTTAACTAAGACATTTTGCTGTTCCCATCATACATAATTATACAATAGGCTAATTTTCAAGAATCTATTTTCTGTTTGCCCTGAACACTGATGACAACAGAAGCAAATGTCTGCTATTCAGCTATTAGACGCATGTCATTCCCTTGGAAAAGCAACTTACCTTAGGGAACTATTTCACTTCACAGGAAAAGACTATTTATTTACTCTGAGTTCCTCTCCTTACAAGATTGTTGCCTGCCTTTTTGTTTTGCTTTAAAGTGGTCTCAGAACTTGGAGAAATAACCTCAAATAAAACCAAAACAAAACTCCTAGGACTTAGGTTCAGGTTCTTAAATGAATTGTTTAGCTTCAAAATGTAAAACTGTCCCGCAAGAATATCACAAAGTGTAAGCACAGGAGGATCCGCATGTCACTGAGAACAGTCTCTATATAACACCCAGAGACTAAGAAATGAGTGGCCTCCTTGCTGTATATTACAATGTCTGTATTTATTATATTCTCAAGTGTGCTTAACAAATGGATATCACTTTCTAAAAGATTTCTTAGTGGAGTTGAAACTCCTAATCCACTCACCTCCTCTCTTAGGTCACCAATCCAGATCCAAAGAAAAGTATTCTTTATGTTTCTGTGAAAACCAGCTTTCTTTCTTACTCTAAAAACAGCTAAAATTAGAGATAAACTCACTGGCAGGCAGCAGTAGCAAAGTAAAAGAGACAAATTGCAGTTACCCCCCTAAGAAAACAACATTCTGTTGATGAACAAACACTCTACATTTTAGCTATTAACAACTCTTACAGAACTAGGGACTGCCAATAACAAACTTGATTTTTAATGTCCCCAAGGTAATAATAATCCACTCATTTGACTGTATCCCAGCTGGTCCTCTCTGGCAGTTTCTATTTGATTTTTACAGCAGGGAAGACTTATCTTTCTTTGGAAAGAAAAAAAAGGGGGGCCCTGTTAAAGTTAAGGAGGAGTGCGGAGAGAAAACACATGGAAATCTAATGTGAAAGTTTCTTGTTGCAATAAAGCTGTTAGGTTTGGCATGAAGACCATTATCAGATGGTTCCTTTGACATTACTTGAGCCTTTCAGTAAGTAAGACAAGCCTGAAGGATTAGGTTGTCAACTTCAGCCTGTCATCTTTGGGGATGGAAAAAAAGTTGCCTGCTTTTCTTTTTTCTTTCTTTCTTCCTTCCTTTCTTTTTTTTTTTCTTTCTTTTTGTCTGGTCACATCTTCCCTACCAGTTTAAAGCTTTGAGGCTGCAGAAGAGGTAGTTAATAAGGAGACAAACCCGAATTCACCCTGATGACAGAACTTTAGCTTTTAAAGACAAGTGAGGCAACCATGCTGCAAGGCTAATCACCCTGTGTGAGTATGAATTTATCTAAAGAGGATTTCATGTGGAACCCTCGGAGCCGGCCGCCAAACGGATGACTGCACAGTTTAAGAAAGTTAGTGGGACTTCTCCAGTCAACTGTCAGGACGCATAAAAGGGCTGGAACGCGCTGACTTAAGCAAACAATATTTAGCCGTCTAAGGATACCATAAGGCCCAAGATTTTGCTTTGTTGGCACTGACAGGAAATATTGATACATATCAAGTGACACTCCTGATGTAGGAAGGAGGATGTGCCTCCTGTTGGCGCTATCTCTATTTACAAAACTGTTTTATGCTTCAAACAAGCTGGGGACCAGGAAAAATGTCAAAACCAGCCTCACCCTGGGGGCTTTTTCAGCTTTCTCGGGATCACGATTTCACGAACGAAAGCACTATTCTAAAATCACCTATTTTTAAGGGGAATGAAAAAGTAACTGGAACTTGAGTTCACAAACTTTCCACATGTCCAGCTAACAGACCCTGCCCGTAATCCCCAAAATATCCATTAAGTTTATTAACCTAGGAAATTTGCCAGTGATTGTGTTTTGATGAAGTTTTTTTTTTTTTTCATTTTTTAGAATATCCTAAACTATATTCAAACTCTTTAGCTATGGATGTTGAAATGCAAATAGAAGTTTCTGGCTATCAAGTCCAAAAAAATAAGTCCCAGGGGTCAAAACTCTATTTTTGTTAAAAATAATGTTGGCAATGACCCTACTGGCTCATCCTTTTTAGTATTTTAACTGCGTGGAAAAAAAATCATAATGTCTTGTCCTGGGAAAATTTGACTGGGAACATAGCTTTGTGTTGAAATTACCATAGAATTAGGGTTGAAGTGGAGGGTTTCATTTAAAAGAAAAAAAAAAACCACACAAGCCACCTTACTTTATCAGAATACTCTAAACGTTCCCCCTCAGTAAGGTTGTGCTGGAGGTGGAGTCCTTGAGGATGCTGCGGTGGCAGTGTTAATGAAATACCCTTTGGCATGAAGCAGCATTCCCAGAATCCTGATTGTAGTACTAGAAAGGAAAGTGAATTTTTTTCACAGCACAATAAACAAGGGGAATGGAAGAAAAGAACCTGCTTGTTCTGTGAAGACGATCGCTTCCAGTTAAACAAAGAAATTTAGGGTCGTCTGCTTTTCATGAAAATCGCATACATATGGCCTTTGAAATTTGTCACTGAAGATAGTTTTGCTCTGAGGTAAAATTCACCAGTTTATAGTTTTTCAGCTGCGAGTCGCTGGCTTTTTCTTTTCTTTTCTCTTGGCCTGCAGCCCAATATGAATGTATGATCACTAGCACAATAGTTAAACATCTGAGTCTTTTTGAAGTGCCTTCAATGTTACAATGATGTGATGGTTGATTGCCTAGCAGTTTAGAAAAGAACTTCCTTCTGCCCCCTAGTGGTAGAGATTAAAGTTTGATGATTACTACATAATAAAATGCCTTTAAATAAAAAATTTTCTCATATTTTAAGGACATCGTGTAGTGTGGAAATTACTAACAAGTTTTTTCATAATCAAAAAAATATAAATTTTTATTTATTCATTTCAAGAGCCAGGGTATTTCTGTATTGCCCATACTGGTTCTGGACTCTTGGGTCAACCGACCTGTACAACTGGGAGGACAGGAGCTTCCACCACACTGGCTAAGTGTGTATTTGAAACAGGAACATTTCTATACTGAATGGACTGTTCTGTAAGTCAAAGCATCATTTCTTGCATGTTTTATGCTCTCGCTGTGCTCTGCTAAACAATATATCCCACTACTATAAACAGACATTTTTTTCTAAGGCAGCATTGCTCCTGGGAAAATTCTGGAACTACTTAACAGAAGCTGTTAACCAAGAAGTGTATTGTGTTGCTAAAATTATCAAAATACACACACGCACACACATGTTCAAAGACAGCATTGAACAGACACACTTAGTTATTGTGGAACTTTCTATCGCTTCTCAGATGGCTATTTTTGTACATTAGGCAATAAAAACAATTCGCACTAATTATAGCAGTGGTTATCGCATAGGTCACTGTCCCTTTGTGCTGAAGTTCACAAAGCAAGCCATGTACATACAGCCTAGGTGGAGGACGGGTTTGCCATGACTACATGACACAGTTTGGAGGTGGGGAACGTTGATCACATACAGCTTTTTTTCCCTGCTGACTACAAAGTGGAAAGGAGTTGTTTGAGCTTTCATCCTGTCTTGTATTTTGGTTTGTTTGTTTGTTTTTCATCTTTAATGCAGAATTCCTATCCTGGATGAAGGCACAGGAAATTGAACACTACATGGGGAATAGAGGTACCAACATGGGGGTGTGTACGTAGATCTTGCGCAAGGCAAATCCTGCAGTGAAAGAAGAGGAAAGAGTTGAGCAGGAAGAGGAGGAGGGGCTCAGGGGCATGGTAGGACAGCTGTGCCATGTGTATCGTGTCAGCCTGCTTCTGTGCCACTACTGCATGGCTGACGTTGGAATGCAGGCAAGGCGCTAGTTTATTGAACCAGCAGCCATGGAAATTCCAGCTGTCAACATGTGATCACTTCTTGGACCAAAGAGTGGTTTTGTCTGCACCATATTTGATTTCTAGTCACAGTTTTACATTTCCCTGAGCACTTTTAACCATGACATTACATTTCAGGAGTCTTTGGAAGGCCCCCTCTTTTCAGACTGGTCCTTCAGGCATGGTGCATGACTTGAGCATTGAAATGACATGACCATGTACTTATTCAAGAAGAATACTAGGCTACAGTGACCATGAGTAATCAATAGTATTTTTTTTAAAAGAATGCTTGCTGTTGTTTATTTATTTT